TCTAGGAAAGTCTGTGTGCCATGGAGGTAGTTAGGCTTTAGCTCTGAGAGTCTACAGTTCTAAAAAACTCTAAAGCCTAAAAGACTTTAAAATGTGTCACACTTTTAGTGAGGTCATTAATTGGTATTCTGAAAAGAGGTACAAAAAGCCGAATGTCTAGTCAGAAATGGTGGTACAGGCCTATAACTCAGCTACTTGGAAGACTGGGACAGCAGTGGCACAAATTCAAGGCCAGTCTAGGCCACACCAAGTTCAGGTTAGTCCAAACAACTTAGTCAGTCCCTGTCTTAAAATTAAAAAAAAAAAAAAAAAAAAAATGTATGTTTTAAGGGTTAGAAATACAGCTCAGGATAGAATGTTTGCCTGGCATATACAAGGCCTTGGGTTTGATTTCTTACATTTTTGGTTGTGAGCCTAGCCTTTAATGGCTAAGCCATCTCTCCAGCCCATGCTCCTGGGTTCAATTTCTGACAGCAGTATGTAATAACCAGTGTGTAATAACTATGTATTTGTAAGTTACAGTGTGATACTTCAGTACATAATTTGTGCTGATCAAATCAATGCAGTTGGAATTTTGATTGTCTGATCACTTCAAGCCTTCAAATGCCTCTCTTCAGGTTCATCAGTATAAGGTAAGTTTCTGTGAACTGTGGCTACTCTACTAGACCATCTTCCTTACTAAGCTCTATTTTAGTGCCCTTATTCCATCTCCTTCTATTCTTCCTTTAATCACTACTCTTCTTTCTTCTATTTGAGATCAACCTTTTTATCCTTTCTTTAACATGAACTTTGTCTCTACACATATTAAAGAATTCCTGGGCTAGAGAGATGGCTCAGGGGTTAAGAGCACTGCCTGTTCTTCCAAAGGTCCTGAGTTCAATTCCCAGCAACCAGATGGTGGCTCACAACCATCTGTAATGAGATCTGGTGCCCTCTTCTGGCCTGCAGGCATACATGTAGACAAAACATAATAAATAATCTTAAAAAGAAAATAATAATTCTGGGGTTGGAGCGATAGCTCAGAGGTTAAGAGCACTGGCTGGTCTTTTAGAGGTCCTGAATTCAATTCCCAGCACCCACATGGTGGCTCACAACCATTTGTAATGAGATCTGGCGCCCTCTTCTGGCCTGCAGGGATACATGCAGACAGAATACTGTATACACAATAATCTTTAAAAAATAAAAATAATAATTCCTTTGCAGCAAGGATATGTGACAGAATGGCCAAAATCAAAAACACCAATGACAGTTTATGCTGGAGAGGATGTGGAGAAAGGGGAACACTTCTTCACTGCTGGTGGGAGTGCCAACTTGTACACCCACTTTGGAAATCAGTATGGCGACTCCTCAAGAAAGTGGGAATCAGTCTACCACAAGATCTAGCAATTCCACTCTTAGGCATATACCCAAAAGAAGCATGTTCAACCATGTTCATAGCAGCATTATTTGTAATAGCCAGAAACTGGAAGCAGCCTAGATGCCCCTCAACCCAAGATAGAGATAATGTGGATAGAGAAAATGTGGTACATTTACACAATGAAGTATTATTCAGCAGAAAAAAACAATGGAATCTTGAAATTTGCAGGAAAATGGATGGAACTTGAAGAAACCATTCTGAGCCATGTATAGCAATCATAAAAAGGCAAACATGATATGTACTCACTCATATGTGGACCTGCTTTATGATACATAGTAGTGACCATGCTTTATCAGAGCTGTTTTTAATGATGTTGCTCAAAATGGTTTCCTTTAAGATGAAAATTGAGAAGCTAATTAAAAAAAAAAAATGGTGCCAGGAACCACAAGATTAACAGAATTGTGCTGTTTTCTAGGCTTTTGTTTTTGTTGTTGTTGTTTTTAAATGGAGTGTGCTGGATGTCTCTACAATTTTGTTGAAATGACTGCAGAACCTGGAAAAGCTGTTGCTGCTATTGATGCATACATAACATACTGCTATTATTGGTCTTTTTATATAAATATAATATATATATATATACATATATATATATATAGATAGATATATATAAACAGCAGCTTACAGTAGTGTTGCTTGGCTGAGTAGGAGGTGATACAGGACTGTGCTATTAGTGAGCTGGAGGTAGGAGGTGGCTATGGCTGATGGGCAGGAGTGTGAGGTAATTGCAGGGTAATACTGTCTGCAGGTATTTTTAGATGACACCAGAATGAAAAGATGTTGGTTAGTGGTGATGGTCTTTCTTCTTCTAGAACACGGTGATGAAACATGCGTAATAGAACATATATATAAACCAAGGAGGACCCTTAGAGAGACATACATGGTCCCCTGGAGAAGGGGAAAGGGTCAAGATCCCCTGAGCAAATTGAGAGCACAGGAAGAGGGGGGGAGGGAGCTACAAGAATGAAAAGGGAAGAAGAGGAGGGATGCAGAGGGGGCTTGAGTGATGGGGAAGAATAGAAGAAAGGATATGTGATAGGTAGGGTTTTAGTTAGGGGGGTGGGGGAGGAAGGGAAGGAGAAGGGAACTGGGATTGTCATGTAAAACAATCTTGTTTCTAATTCAAATAAAAAATGATTTATAAAAAAAAAATATGTGACAGAATAATCACTCCCCCATCTCTAAGTAACCTCCAGTTAGAATTGCTTTCATATCAACATGAGCATCCCCTGCACTGACCACTCATGCTGAGTCTTGTGGCTCTTAAACTGTGAACTGCATGGGTTTTGATACTTCAACATCTGAGGCAGAGAGTTGATTCTGTACTTTGGGAAGGGAGAACTTGGCTCTTACTATACTTCTAGCCTGAATACACAACTAAATATAGGAAACATCTTCTCTAGACTTTAGTCAGACAAACTTTGGTTATTAACATTCTCAACTAGATCATGATTATGGTAATATATTGTTTATGATCTAATAAAGCCACTGAGGATCAGAGAAGCAAAGCAGCCACAACCGCTAGAAGATGGGCAATGATGGTACACACTGATAATGGAGTATTTTCTATGATTTTGTCAAATGCAAATAAACTAGACAACATTGATATACTTATTGGCTGTATATATTGTTTACAGTTATTGTACTTAATGTATTTGATTTTTCTTAATTAGTGATAGCCTTTTTATTAGACAAAAAAGGGGGAATTGTGATATATTGTTTATGATCTAATAAAGCCACTGAAGTTCAGATTGCAAAGCTAGCTACAACCATAGAGGACAGGCAATGGTGGCACATACTTTTAATCCCAGGACTCAGGAGACAGAGGCAGATGGATCTCTGAGTTCAAGGCTACCTAGGGCCTTGAGAGAATGAACCAGTCTAAAAAAGAAACAGAGCTCATGCCTTTAATCCCAGCACAGAGAGGTATGTAAGACAGGAGCAAAGTACTCAATATTCAGTCTTGAGCAATTAGTCTCCAGCCACAGTGATGTCAGGATCACCCCAGCCCTGGTAGAGGTAAGAGCTCTCTGGTAGCTGGGCTGCTTTGCTTCTCTGATCTTCAGCAGCTTTATTAGATCATAAACAAGATATCACCGCACGATTCTCAGAAACCCCAAAACATCAAACTCTTCATCTACCAAACAGCAAGACACCCAACCCTTGGCTATATAAAATAAACTTATGCCTGTGTTTCTATGGACCAGGGTCTTTCAGGTGCTGCTGAACTGGGGGCATGTCTGTACCCTGTACTACCTGCAGGGCACACTCTAACAATAGACACACTGACTCTCGCACACAACAATCCCTCTCCTGAAATGTCCAAGTTACCACTGTCTTCCATGCCAGTTTCAATTTGCCCATCATACCCTTCAACCTTAACACATTGATACAAAGCATTAAAGAGCCCATGTGACAGCACAGCTATTCAAAATCCTAGCTCTAACTAACTACCTTCGTCAAATTCTTTAGTATCTATAGTTCTCAATCCTCTCATCAGCAAACAGGAATGATAATGGTACTAAAAGCTTTTTTGTTTATGAATATAAAATGAATTAACTGAGGGAAAAGATCTTGTGTGTGTATACTTTTATATGTGAGTACATGTATGTGTTCATGTCAGGATATATGTGTGTGCGCATTCATATAGAAGACAGAGGTCAGCCTGCAGTGTTGGTCCTCAGGCACCATCCACCTGGTTTTTTGTGAGACAGGGTCCCTCATTGCTCTGGTGCTTACCAAGTAGGCTGGCTGGCCAGACAGTGAGACCCAGGGGTCTGCCCGTTTCTGCCTTCCCAGTGCTGGGATCATAAGTGTGTGATACCACATCAGGCTCTTTATATGGGTTTTAGGGATCAGACACAGGTTTGATCTTGCATAATGGGTGCTTTATCAAGAGAGGTATCTCCTTAACCTCAGGAGCCCCATATACACATACAGCCCCCAATTTTTTTTTTCATCACGTCATTCAGGACATCATAGTGGGAAAGTTCCCAGCTAAATGCACAGACAATCGAGGTATTACTGTGTTAATGCAGGAGCCAATGAGTTGCATGGGTCTGAGTATGGAGGGGACAGAACCACGGTTGTGGGGCCAGTACAGGACAGAAGCCCTAGGCTGATGCTGCTTTCCCACAGGGTGGGCATGCTGTCAATATATGTATTGTTTCAGTAATGTCAGGGAACAAATTAAAAAAGTGGAACCAGATTCTGTTACATCTTGACTGATGCCACTCTGCACACAAACACAAACTCCAGGGCCTTCTAGTGGCACTGCCACAGATATAGCTCCAAATTTAACATCATACGGAAGAGGTTCAATAAAGGCTAGCCATTATTACTTGGTTTTATCTTGGATGTATGTTTGTGTCTTTGCAGTGTTGAAGAATCAAATCCAGAGCCTCATACAAGTTACATAAGCACTCAACCAGAGAGCTAGACACCCAGCCCACAAACCATTACTATTAATGCTTGGGGGAAAAACCTCCAAATCCAGTAAGAAAAACCTAACCCCAGGAAACTGGAAATGACTCCTCCCTTGTTTTAGGGACAGAGTCCCACAGATGGGGCAGAGAGAGGAAAATGATGCTGCTTGAGTGAGTTATATACTCACAATCACACAGTTCTTCCCAACGTGAACATAAGAACCGATCTGAGCAGCGTTGACCACACAGTCTTCCTCAATAAAGACATGGTCCCCAATATGTAGAGGAAAGAATGCAACACTAAAAGGAAAAGAAGACAAACAAGGAAAGGTCAAGGTGATGGAGTTTGAGTTAAAGTTTACAGAACTGCAGATCATTATCTCAAAATTTATTTATTTACAAAGAGACTCTTTTGTTTTGTTTTTGAGACAGGGTCTCTCTTTGTAGTCCTGACTATACTGGAGCTTGATATGTAAAGCAGGGGGCCTCAAACTCACAGAGATCCTTTTGCCTCTGTTTCTTGAGCTCTTTCTTGGATTATAGGTATTTGTCCGGCCTCTACAGGCAGACTCTATGCTGCCCAAGCTAACCTAGAATTTGTCACATAGCCCAAGATGGCCTCAAACCTTTGCTCCTCCTGAATTAGCTTCCTCAGCAGTGGGATTACAGGCATGTACCATACCCTCAGTTTCTGTCATGTCTTAATAAGACTTGCAAGGAAAGAACCCTCTGGTCTTTGAAATTCCAAATGTTATAACCAAGGAATCAGGCTAATAACTCAGAATCAGAATTAGTGAGTTGCACAAGTAAACAATAAAGCAAGAGTAGGATCTTCAAAGCAAACTAAAATGGGTGGGTACTGACCCATTTCTGCTTTCTTTGACAAAGCTCACAGAATGTTTAGTAATCTGTTTCCATGACTGACAAGATCATAGGCTATAGTTTTGGTGCCCAACACATAGCAAAGAACAACAATACAACAACCAAAAAACAAAACAAAACAAAAAAACCTGGGGGCACTAGAGAAAAGAACAGTTTCATGTAGCCCACCTGGCCTTCAATTTGCTATAGCAGAAGATGATCTTGAACATCTGATCCTCCTGCCTCTGAACTAGAGCTGTGTGCCACCATACCCTGTTCATGCAGTACTGGAACTGAACCTGGGGCCTTATATATGCTAACAATTACTCTACATTCTCAGATCTTAAAAAATCGTTTTTGTTCCCATCATTCTTAAACTTTAGCCATCTACCATACTTACTGACTTACCACTGTGTGCCAGACTCTTTGCCAGGAACTGGGGATACAAAGTAAGCAATACAGATCTGTGGCATGAGGAGTGTACAATCAAGAGAAGAGATCAAGTAAAGACTACACACATAATTAGTTACAGCTATGATAAAAGGTTGTGAGAGTCCATAACAAGGATACTTTACATAGACAGGAGCTATCAGGAAAGCCTAATAGAGAGTGAAATTATAAGCCAGATGTGGTGGCTCATACTTTTAATCCTAGCACTTGGGAGGCAGAGGCAGGCAGATCTCTGTGAGTTCAAGGTCAGCCTGGTCTCCTAGATCTCTGTGAGTTCCAGGACAGCCAGAGCTACATAGGGAAAGCCTGTCTCAGAAAAAAGAAAAAAATTGTATTTAAGTCAAGACTTAAAGGATGAATAGGAGTTACCAGGCTTCTTCCAGATGTCAAACATCATTCCATTCTCTACAATGCCTCAAATATTACTGACAATGTTTCTATAATAGCATTTATCAGACCATGTTTTTTGTTAAAAAGATTTATTTGTGAGTGTGCTTGTGTGCATGTGTGTTTCTGGCTACCTGTAGAGGCCAGAAGGAAGCAGTGGATTCCTTGGAGTCAGAATTACAGAATTACCTAATGTGGATGCTGGGATCTGAACCTGGTCCTCTGATAGAGCAGTAAGCACTCTTAACCACTGAGCCATCTATCCAGACCCTAGCTCATATTTTAAATCTGTGGCCTAGATAAGATATAAAGTAGCTGTTTGCTCACTAACTCTTTCCAGTCATATTCCACAAGAAAAATCTGTCAGTCATCATTATTTATTCTCCAAGACTGAAGATTTACTTGAACATTGTTATTTTTAGTATTTTAAGTCTCTTCCTTTTGTGCAACAATGAATTCCTTGATCACATGGCAGTCTACAGCAAGCCCTTTTAACCTTTTTCTATTCCTGATACCTCTTTACCCAAGAAACTGGTTTTTTTTTTTTTTAAAGATTTTATTTATTTATTATGTATACAACATTCTGCTTCCATGTATATCTGCACACCAGAAGAGGGCACCAGATCTCATTACAGATGGTTGTGAGCCACCATGTGGTTGCTGGGAATTGAACTCAGGACCCTTGGAAGAGCAGTTGGTGCTCTTAACCTCTGAGCTATCTCTCCAGCCCCCCCAAGAAACTGTTTTTTATGTGAACCCAGATATACAAGTATATAGAATAGGCTTCCTAGTGAAATGTTTAAGCTGAGTGTGATGGCACACACCCATAGCCAGCACTTAAGTGATTGAGGGAAGAAAATTAGGGGGTTCAAGGCCAGATGAACTACACTCACTCACACACACACACACTCTTACTTACTGGTAATAGATCAGTAAGAGCTTTATGTCCATACTGGTATTTATGTGTCCAATCTCATTATAAATCATAAAGACATTTATTTTAAAACAACACTGTGGTATACATATAATTTTACCATGATTAAAGACAAAAACAAATGTGCATGTGTGGTACGTTCATTTATTTTTACATAAAGAATTACATTTTAGCCCAGCAGTGGTGGCACATGCCTTTAATCCCAGCATTCGGGTGGCAGAGGAAGGTGGATCTCTGTGAGTTTGAGGTCAGCCTGGCCTACAGAGTGAGTTCCAGTAAGCCAAGGCTACACAGAGAAACCCTGTCTCAAAAAAACAAAATGACAACAACAAAAGAAGAATTAAATCTTGCCTGAGTATTTGATAATACAAAACAGAGCAACTTCTCTGCTATTCAGAGTTGACTCCTATTCTGATTTTATAATTGAAAGCCACTTTGCATAAATACTTAGTACAAAATGGCAGGTATGTGGGGCTGGAGAGATGGCTAAGAGGTTAAGAGCACCGACTGCTCTTCCAGAGGTCCTGAGTTCAATTCCCAGCAACCACATGGTAGCTCACAACCATCCATTATGAGATCTGGTGCCCTCTTCTGGTATGCAGATATACATGGAAGCAGAATGTTGTATACATAATAAATAAATAAAATGTTTTAAAAAAAATCAGCAGGTATGTTTACAGTCATTTTAAGGAACTACTGGAAAAACCTGTCTGATCTCAAGGAAATACATTGACCAATTTTTTTTCTTTTAATGAAACTCAAGTCAGCAACTCAAACTGCAATTTTTAAAACCCAACAATCTTTTTTTAAAGATTTGTTTATATGTGTATTTGTCTGCATGAGTTTATATATACCACATGCACACCAAAGTCCAAGGAAGCCAGAAGAAAGAACTAGTCCCTTAGAACTCGAATAATAGGCAGCTAGCTGTAAGTCACCCAGGTCATTTGCAAGAGCAGTGGTACTCTTAACTGCTGAGCCATCTCTCCAGCAGCAAAACCCAACATTCTAATATGAAATCCAAAGATATAACTAATTTTGTACTTAGATGTTAAGTGATAACTATGGGAAAATACTAAAAGTTTATTTTCAGTAATTAAATCATTATGTGTCTCTAATAGCAGCAAACTTAGTGTACTAGCTAGTTCTGTGTGTCAACTTGACACATGCTAGAGTCCTTAGAGAGGAAGAAGCCTCAGTTGAAGAAATGTCTCCATGAGATCCAGATGTAAGGCCTTTTCTCAATTAGTAACCAATGGAGGAAGCTCAGCCCATGGTGTGTGGTGCCATCACTGGATAGACAGTCCTGGATTCTATAAAAAAATGCAGGCTGAGCAAGCCATGGGAAGCAAGCCAGTAAGCAGCACCACTCCATGGCCTCTGCATTATTAGCTCCTACCTCCAGGATCCTGCCTTGTTTGAGTTACTGTCCTGACTTCTTTCAGTGATGAACACAAATGTAGAAGTGTAAGCCAAATAAAAAATAAACCCTTTCCTCCACAACCTGCTTTTAGGTCATGGTGTTTCATCACAGTCATAGAAACCCTAACTAAGATGCTTAGTATGTATAGTAAAGACATTAGAATTTATAACATAAAGTAGTTCAAACCTGAGCAGAAGTGTTTAGGCAGCATTCACTGGTGTGGCTTGTATGACATCATACATAGTAGAATGCACATGTGCTGTGTGCAAAACTGGTTGTGTCACATGATGCACCATGGGCAAGCACTGCCAGAAACTTTGGATTTATCACATATTTCATTTTGAATTAATTCTGGTTGTTGCATATTCAGAAACCTTCCATTGTTGCCAATTTTTTCACAGCCTCCCGCATTCAATTATGCAATGACAATATAGGTTCATGACACACAGTTTAAGAAACCATAGGCTATATCAGTTCTGAGAGTTCTTTAATTTTAAGTTAAAAATCTAAATTTCTTAGCATTATCTGATTCTGATATGATATGCAAGAGAAAAATCCACTTTCACCTTTTCTCATGCTTTACTATTTATGTTTTATTTCTCTATATCTCACAGGGACTATTCTGCTTCTCCCATCCAAGTACTAACCAGGCCTGACTCTGCTTAGCTTCCAAGATCAGACGAGATCAGGCGTGTTCAGGGTGATACAGCCATAGACTCAGGGAGGTATGGCCATAGATGGGACTATTCTACTTCTGACAACCAATTTTGAACAAGGTTACAACCAGAGTGGTGTTCATTATTGTGAACTCTTATTCAGCACCCCACCAAACAGGATAGACCTTCTCACTACACATCTAAAAACATGGACATGGACAATATCACCAGGGACAATATGGAGCCTGGGACTGGAAATAGATAATTAAATCACATACCCTTTACTGAATTTCTTGAATGGTGGCCTTATGACACTACGGCTTTTAACAACACAGTGACGTCCAACTCTTACATTTGCCAGATCTCCTCGGATGATACAGTCATTCATTACAATGGTCTATAAAGCAAAACACATTATAAAATGTACCAGTGTAGCCTAAAAGTAACATAAAAATATAGTGAACAGGACACTAAGCATGATGTTATGGTTCGTGCCATGAAATGTTCTATAAAAGGGGCAACTGTATGGTGAAAGGAGAACTGGCTGCGGCTTGACTGCAACACAATGTAAGCTTTGATCTTAATACTCCACATATTTGACTCACTGAGTGAACACACTGAGAATGCAAATGGTAGACAAGGTAACATATCTGTTGAGAGCAGTGGTTCTCAATCTTCCTAATGCTGTCACCTTTAACACAGTTCCTTGTAACACGAATAATAAAAACCCAAAGATAGATATTGGGGTTCAAACTGAAGATCAGAGAAGCAAAGCAGCCAAGCTATCAGAGTTCTCACCTCTACCAATGCTCAGACCAAAGGGTCGATCCTTAGATTGCTCCCGACTTCACTGCTCCTCAGATTCACTCAGACTGCCCGTTGTCCACCTAGCCTCAGAATGTTAGATGGCTCTGAGACTGCTCTGAGATCCTTATATACTGTCTAGTGCTGGGATTAAAGGGGTGAGCGGTTTCTCTTCTAGACTGATTCACTCTCATGTAGCCCTGGATGGCCTTGAACTCACAGAGATCCATCTGCTTCTGTCTCCTGAGTCCTGGGATTAAAGTTGTGTGCCACCATTGCCCAGCTTCTATGGCTAACTAGCAAGTCTGGCTGTGCATTCTGATCCTTCAGGCAATCTTTATTAAATCATAAATTATATATCACCACGGTTCCTCATGCTGTGGTCACCCCCAATCATAAAATCATTTCGATGCTACTTCATAACTGTAACTTGCTACTGTTACGAACCGTAAGGTAAATAAATATCTGATTTGTGACCCACAGGTTGAGAACTACGTGTTTAAAATTACTCAGATTCATCTAAGGTCGCCTGAGCCTTGGAGACATGGTCAGAGACTGTCCTATCTGCTTCCACACAGGCTGTGCCACCACATTTCCAGCCCCCTTTGAAAAAAGTCAGAAGCTCTAGCAATACAGGTCTGTACTCTCACTCCATAATAACCAACATCAGAATACATTGGTCATGCATTCCCTGCTTACTTTGTTTTGAGGGTCTTATTATGTCCCTGAGGATGATTTGGAGCTATGTAGTCATAGGTAACCTGAAACTCGGAGTGCTCGTCCTGTTTCATCTTCCCAAGTGCTAAGATTACAGGCATTTCCCTGACTTTTGTTTTATTGCCTCTTTACCTTTTGTGTCTGCTAATCCTGGACACAATGTAACACAGCAGAAAAATGTGCCAGTGTATTTTATTCAGGTATAATAAAAGGATTCTATTCCTTCCCCTACCCCCGACACCTTTTATTCATAATAATTAATGCAATGTAAATCCTATCTAAATACAGTATTGAGGAATATGACCCAAAAAAGTTCATATTCATGAAATTCCTTCCCTTTCACTCTTCTCTCCATCTACCTGCCCCTGCTCCTTTGTCTACAGTGCCCTCCTCTTTCACACCTCATGTGTTATACTGCTCTCCCCACATTTCTTAAAATGGCTCTATTCCCCATCTAGTAGGCCTCTTTCTAATCTCCTCGATTCTCCTCATTTATTATTTTTGTGCATTCACAAAATCCAATTTGGAGAAAAAAAAAAACAAATAGAACTGGAAACATACAACAAACTGGAGACACAGCACCATTTGTATACCCTGCTAATATAGTGACGAGCAAAGGTATGCACTCTGGAGCTGACTGTGTACTTTACCTTGCCATTGAGAACAATGTTCTGGCTTCCACACAAAACAGACTGGCGACTAACTTTGTTCCCAGATGCCTAAAAGCAAACAGAAAAAGCTGAGATTTCTGGGATACCATTTCCATCAAAAAAAAGTTCAAATTATGGAGAAAATTACTTTAAATGGAGTGCAATCTAAAATGGAATGAGGGTGGAGTGTGGTACTGCACCCCTACTGTCCCAGCTCTGGGCAGGATGATTATGAATGTGGGGTTAGACTGGACGACACAATGAGATGATCACAGACACAAACTAGAGAAGGAAGAAATGGAGCGGGAAGGGGAGGAAAGGCTGGGGGGTGTAACTCAACGATAACAGTGCTTAGTACTGTAAGATGTATATGTAAGATGGACTGAATCCAAAATTTCAAAAGCGCCAGGGGTGAACCCCAGGAACTAAAAGTTCTAGAAAAGGGTTCAGGATTTGTATCTAATGACAGATGTGCATTCAAAACCCCAGCTCTATACTCCAGTTTCACAGCCCTAAATGAGGAAAAGGACTTTCCCATGTCCACAGAATTGTAAGGACATACAGAAAAAAAAAAAAAAATGAGTAACCCTAATAGTGGCACTTGCTTGTTTCCAGCACTTACACATGTTACCATGAGCTGACGATTAGAAACAACTTTTTAGCACGTTAGTAGACTATGAAATACTATTTTTAAAAGGTCTGAAGCCTTAATTGGTATCAGAACGAATAGGCTGTATTGTGTATTCCGGAAGACATTCTCTCTATAGGAAATCCAGGTGTGTGTGTGTGTATACACACACACATAAATATATATGCATAGAGAGAGGGAAGGGAGAGAGCGGATAGGGGAGGGAAGTGCAGACGGACGGAAGGAGGAGAGAGCTTAATTTATGCACGCACGGACTAAATAACAACACCAGAGGAAACACGAAGCGTCTCTGCATCATCTTCAAAGAACAGTCTGAGGGAGCAGGGGCGGGTGAAGCAGGGGCAGGAGGGGCTGCCGTCCTGTCCTCCAGGGGCAGCTGGGCGGCCAGCGAGAAAAGGGTCTGCACACGCTCACCGTCTCGATGTACTCGGACTTGTTGTACAGCAGCTCGCCCAATTCCATGGCTGCCTCCTCTTCGAACCTCAGGATCCTGCCAGTAGCTCAAGCCCACGGTGATTCCAGCTACTTCCGGCTGCCTGTCCACTTCCGCTATCCGCCCCCTTGACTCTCATCGACTGCTCGACTCTCCTCTAGACAGTCCGGCTGCGCGTGCGCAGAGAGAGCGGCAGCTTTAATTGGCCAGAGTGGGTAGCGCGCGGGATCCGGGTGGGCCAGCCAGTCACGCGCAGGTGGTGCGCTAGGTCTTCGTTCTTTCCCGGAATTCCTTCTGGGCCTAGAAAGGTCCGGCTGGGTCTCCGTGACCACAGGCCCGAGGCTGGCGGCGGCTGCTCCCTGCTTTCCGCTTCCATCCGGATGGAAGAGCCTTCCGGGAAGCCCCTCAGCTGTGCGGAGAAGGAAAAGGTGCCCGGGTTGCGGGAAGGGTGACCCAGGGCTCTAAACCCCGTGTCCCAGGACTTCAAGCCTGGTTCCTGAATCCGAGGGAGGCAATGTCCTCCGACCTACGGTCCACGAGAAGTCATTGATACTAGCGCACTACTCTCGTGGCGGAGCGTAAAATGCAAATTAGCAGCATGTAACTTCTAGTGACATTGTATAAATGTTAGTTGTAAAACTTTAAATATGGGTAAACCTAAAGTCCCCTTGACACCTTCCGCCTCTCCCACCCCACTTCTGCCCCCTTACGTAAGTCTTTCAACAGTCTTGTACTTAACAGACATTTTTAGATTTGTATATTGGGTCTTGACCTCCAAAGGCAATAGTTATTTATGTGTTGAAGAGGGAGGTGTTCATAATGCATGCTCTTGTTGGTTCTGCAACTTCTGTTTTTCTCCGTGTTTAAGACCCATGTTGGAAAAGGACTACAGGAAAGATAATTATAAATATTACATACAATGAGTAGGTGTGTGTATGCATGTAAATTTAAAATAGTAGTCTGTAGTTTAGAAGTGCTCTTGTTTCATTAGGGCTCGATATAGGACCCTTCTACAAGACCTAAAGATTACAGGTTCTTGTACTTTGCCATGCAAAAACAGAAGTCACACTAATTTGTCCTCCTATCCTGTCTTACCTTCTATCGGTAGTAAAGATCATTTACAAATAAACAAGCCAAGCCCCACATATTGATATGATTGAGGGCATCAACAGAGGTTGAGAGAGCACAGTGGTTCTCAACCTTCCCAATGCTGCAGCCCTTTAATACAGTTCCTCGTGTTGTAGTGACCCCCAACCATGAAATTATTTTTGTTGCTACCTCATTTTTGCTACTGTTATGGATCATAATGTAAATATCTGTGTTTTCTGGTGGCCTTAGGTGACCCCTGTGAAAGGATCTTTCCACCACCCAGGGGTCTCCCTGCTCAGGTTGAGAACAGCTGCTCTAAGCACTTTCTATGGGGGTTTAAATGGAGCAGTAATAAATGGCAGCACCCTGGAGAAATGCTCCCTCTATGTTCATTTTACATGTCAATAAATTGAAAGTGATTATATAACAGTCTATTTGTTGGGGTTATTTCGAGTGCTAATCAAGTTAATGGTCATTAAAGTCATAAAAGTTCTTAGAACCAACTGAAGCACATTATGAAAGTATCAGCAGTTTTTATTATTGTGTGACTAAAAATGGATGGAAACTGGGGTGACTTTAATGCAGAAGTGCTAGAGTCCACAAAATGCTCTGGAAACTGAGGCGGGCAAAGTGATTAATTAAGAAAAGTTAACATTGTCTGAAACTTTTGTTGTAGCAAATTTTGCTGCTTTTTTGTTTGTGGGGTTGTTTTTAAGACAGGGTCTCACATCCCAGGCTAGTCTTGGACTTACTAGGTAGCTAAGGATGACCTAGATCCCTGATCTTCCTCTACCTCCCAAGTCCTGGGTGTTATTACAGTTATTCACCACGAACTGGGCTTATGCAGTGCTGAGGATCAAAGCTTTGTGCATGCTAGATGAGCACTCTACCCCATTTGTTTTGTTTTAAAAGGAATAGTAAAACTAGAAAGCCAACAAATTTCTGGAGGATGAATATCATAAAAGTTTAAAGGTTCCTAAAGGGTAGAAAGATGAAGGTGGCTTTGCTGCTGAGACAATATTTTCAACCACAGAATCCAAGAAGACAAGCTGAACCTTGAGAATAATAACTTGGCATAGTCTAATACAATTTATTTACAGTAAAGTTTTGTGGAATGCCTGCTGTGTGCCTAGCTGGGAACTCACCAGTAATAGTCCCTACTTCTTTCACTGAATACTGGATCTTCAATATATGAATCCATTCCACCATGAAGCTTTCCTGCTTGTGGAAAATAACTATATATATCCTATATCCCCAAGCTTAGTTCTTTCTTTCAGATCTAGGTGTAAATTGTCACCCTCAAAAATGCCTCCAAGACTACACTCCCTGAAGTAGTTAATACTTCAGGAAACTAGTTGCATATTATCTGCATCCCTCACTACAAGTACAAGTACATTGTCTTAACCACCCTGTAGCTCAAGTACCAAGGATAGGTACCAAGGATAGGTATCTGACATTTGTGTGTATCCCTGGAATGTCGGGTGGGGGTGTTACTACTAGAGTTCCTGAGCCATTAATAGATAAAAAACATTTATTGATTGACTATGGTAACAGCCCCTCCCTGCTTCTCAAAGTGGTGGAAAGACACAGAAGAAAATGGAAAGCATAGTGTATGGTGTAGTAAATTTTGAGAAGAGCACAGAGGAATGGGAGAATGTCTAAATTGGGTTTGAACAAGATCCTAGAAGTATACCCTAGGAAAGTAACCCAGGAAATTGGGGCTTGAAGAATCTCTAGGAATTGTGAAAGGGATGAATTGCTCCCCGTGACAGGAAACCAGCATGGGAAGATCCTGAGAGAGCTTGATACTTTGTAGGAACTAAGAAAACTGCCCTTCCCTTTACTGCTGGGGTATGCTGCTGAGCACAGCACAATGAGCACCACATGCCATCTCGGGCCTGCTGGGTACTACATCCCTTCCCTTGGATTCCACCTTTCCACTGCTCAGAATTGTTAATGTTTTTCTTCCAGTTGAAGGAAAAATTAGCATTTTTGAAAAAGGAATACAGCAAGACACTTGCTCGTCTTAAGGTGAGTGAGTCAATTCTGTCAAATTAAGGTGTTGCACAAACTATGTAAAAGATTTGTTGTCTTGGTTTGGTTTTTGGTTTTGAAACAGGGCCTCACTATGTAGTCCATTGTGAAGTTAACCTCATAAACCTGGGGCCAGCAACATGGCTCAGAGGGTAAAGTTACCTGCTGCCAAGCTATTCAAAGTGAGCTCAGTGCCCAGGACCAACATGGTGTAAGGAATGTTGTCTTCTGACCTCCACTGAAATGCTAAGCACAAAAGGATTAAATTGTATGTACACACACACATATACAATAAATAAAAATATAATAAAAACAGATAAACCCACAATCCTGCCATGGCCTTCTGGGTGCTAGGATTACAGGTACATACCACCACACCTAATGGGAAGAAAGGTTCTTAAGAGTAATAAAGCTTTAAGGAAAATTGATTTTTTTTTTTTTTTTTTGGGCTGCTTTTGTTTTCTCTAGCGTGCCAAAAGAGCTGAGAAGGTTAAGAACTCTAAGAAAGCAATAGAAGATTGTGTGTCCCATCAGGAAACCTCCCCACAGCTAAGCCGCTCTGGTAAATTAGCCTGTTCACTTACGTTTGTATTCATTCCTCAGTTGACTGATGTTATTTTTTCACAGCCCATGGATAATAAGCAGTAGACTTAAAGAATACAAAAGTTATACAATACCCTGTGTCTTAAGTTGGATTGTCTATTCAATTGCTCTTTTTCTCCTCAAATTGTAAGAACTACAGTCAATGTTTTAGTGTTGGAAAAAATGACTTTTTAACTTTTATTTTTTAATTTATTTTTAGTTACGATTTTTTTTTTAATGTGGCATCTTGCCACATAGCCCTAGATGGCCTGGTACTTATTAATAATATTTCCCATGCTGGTTTCTTACTCAAGGCAGTCCTTCTGCTTTAGCCTCAGTAGTGCTTGGATTGCCTGGGCTATCATGCCCAGTGCTACTCTTTGGCTATAAAAATAATGCTATATGAATGTCTATGTTTCTTTGTGAGTCTGTTATTGATTCTCTTGTGACTCTACCTGGGAGTGGACTTAATTGAGTCTCATATATACATACTTTCCCTCTCAGAACCTATAAATGAAGGCTCTCCTTGTGACACGGTACAAATCAACCATCTTGATAAGGAAACTGGAGAAAACATCTCTGTGATACTTGATGTTGAACCTCAGCCCTTTAACCATAAAAATGACCAAGAAGTACTATATACACAAAGAGCAGGCGACATCCAAGAACAATTTCCATATGTCATCAACAGCCCTGATGGTAAAAAAGGGCAGGATACACTGCCAGGGAGAGCAAAGAAGCGGTGGAAGAAAACATCTGTTTCACAGGAGAAAGAGGATCTGTTTGACATTAATTCTCTCATGCTCCCTGACAAGCAAGGAAAGACACAGGAAGCAATCAGTAGCAAGAGTCCTAGGTCCCCAATAACTGAAAAGATTTGCCTTTTAAATCTGAAGTCTAAAACTCCTGACCCTCCAGCCCTTGATACAGAAATTGATGGAGAGCGTTTATTAGTTCCATTATCTGGCAAATCAGAAAGGGATATTGATATACCTTTAAAGGGAAACAATGTCTCCATGGAGACTACAGTTCCTTCATGGGCTATGTCAGACAACAATCATAGTCAACACCTTGAGCATACACCTCCTAACAGTGACTGCAAAATTCCTACTCAGAGCCCAGCTTCATCCATAAACCTGGAGGCACAAGGCAGAAAAATTACTATATTTACAGATAACCCAGTAGTAAATAAAGCTGTGAGTGCCAGTGATCAGCTCCCAGGAAGTCCTATTTCAGAGGCAAGTAATTCATGTTCTGTAAGTGATCTTACTCACAGTAACTTGCCAGCAAATACTACCCAAAACTTTAAATCTTTAAAATCTCCTGGTAACATTGTTGATGAAAGAAACGAGACTCTTCAAGCAGATGAAATTCTAGGTTCATCTAAGAGCTTCAGCCCAGTAGCAGTCTCTCCTCCTGCCACAGAAAGTCAAATACATTCTTGTACAATGCTTGAAGGCCTTCCGTTTCCTGCAGAATACTACGTTAGAATTACCCGTCATATGTCAGACTATCAGAGAAAAATAGCTCTGGAAGCTGTAATTCAAAGTCACTTGGGTGTCAAGAAGAAAGGGCTTAAAAATAAAAGGAAAGCAACTAAGAATGTAGTCCTCTCCAGTGAAGAAACAGACCAAAGTGAAAGTAGTATGTTGGACACATGCACAGGACAGTCCAGTTCAGGAAGTCCTTCTCAGGAACTAATCTCATCAGCTGAGGTCAGCTCTCCCACAACACCTGCTGAAGCTGACAGCCATCCTGGTAGAAGACACAGAGGAAAACAAAAATCAGTCCGAGTCTCCACACTGGATCGTCAGCTGCTTTTCCCTCCTTACAGCACATTGGGTATAAACATGTCCAAGGGCAAATTCACCAAGCATAAGTGTCAGGATGGAAAAGTGGTTATTCATGGTAAGAAGAAAGTTGAATATAAATTGGGTTGTGTTTGATGATGGTTGATGTGACAGCTAATCATCACCGTGTATCTGGTACTTAAAAATGCTGTGTGCACTGTTAACTTACTGAATCATCATTGCACTATACAAGGTAAAACACCCCCAGACAGGGTTTCTCTGTAGCTTTGGAGCCTGTCCTGGACCCGGAACTCGCCCTGTAGACCAGACTGGCCTCAAGATCACAGAGATCTGCCTGCCTCAGCCTCCAGAGTGCTGGGATTAAAGGTATGTGTCACTACCGCTTGGCAAGGTAGAACCTATTTATCTCCACTTTCAACTGAGGAAAGTAAGCCAGAGTGAAGATAAATTGACTTCAAATGGTAGAGCTAAGATTGAAACCTGGCAGTGTGGCACCAGAGTTCAATGGTATGTTTAAAAAACTCACACGGCAAATACTGGGTGCTTACTCAAGCTAATACCTATTTAAAGTACAGCACAGTCTTTCCATGGGTAGAATCTAATATAGATGTTTTGAAGTAAAATGGAATATGTATTAGGTAAAACTACAGAAAAAGTCCATCATGTAATGGAAAGCCTGAGAACTTTTATGGATAACATAACTGTGATCTATAGAATATAAGATTTTTGGAGTAGTAATCAAGAATATGATGAGGTTTTTATTCATTTTCTTAGTTAATTATACCTGATAAACAACAGAAAAACAGGATCACTGTGACTTTAAATAGGGAATGCCCAAATACCTACAAATGTAGATGGTGAATATTTTGCTTGTCATTTTCTCACCTATTCAGTTGTGGTATAGCAACAGCCATAGACAATATGTAACATCATGTTCTCATAAAACTTTGTACATACATAGGCATCCATTGAGCATAGATGTTTGCTTATGACTTATAATTGATTCATTCAAAAATAATAAGCATGGCTTATTCCTTATCTAAATCAGCAATATAAAAATTTAAGGAAAAAAAAGGGCTAGGTATGGTGTTGCATGCTATTAATCACAACTGAGGTAGAGGCAGGCAGTACTAGACCATCTAGGGTTATATAGTGACACCATGTCTCAAAAGGAAATGTATGCAGTCCAATAATAATCTAGAAACTTTTCTTTTAGAGACAGGTTCTCAGTATCTAGTCCAGACTGGCTTTGATAGTCTGTTGTGGTTTTATTTTCCTTTATGTATATAAGTGTTTGGCCTGCCTGTATGCCTGTATACCTTGTGCATGCAGTACCAGTGGTGGTGTCGGATCCCCTGATATTGGAGTACAGATGGTTGTGAGTCCCAGTGTGGATGCTAGAGTGCTCTTAACTGCTGAGCCAGTCCCCTGCTGTGATTTTAGTAAACTGAGTTACATTTAAAAACCTTTTCTGTTTCCATTATCTAGTTTACTATTCATATGTGAATTTGGTATTACTAGGGATTTTTTTTTTAAGATTTATTTTATTATGCATACAGTATTCTGCCTGCATGTATGCCTGCATGCCCGAAGAGGGCACTGAATCTCATCTTAGGTGGTTTTGATCCATCATGTGTTGCTGGGACTTGAACTCAGGACCTCTGGAAGAGTAGCTAGTGCTTGTAACCTCTGAGTCATCTCTCCAGCCACCTACTAGAGATATTTTTAAAGCATCATTCATGACAAAGGTAAAACAAAAAAACCTTTAGCAACAAAACTCCTTTAGTAACAAAAAACAGATAAGGATTTGGTGCTGCTTTCTGTTTTTGGTTTGTTTGGAGGTGGGGGGAGGGGTAGTCTTGCTTTGTTTTTTGTTTGTTTGTTTGTTTTTAATTTGAGACAGGTTTTTTTCTATGTAGCCCTTGACTATCTTGGCATTTGCTGTGTGGACCAGACTGCCCTGGAACTTAGGAAAATTCCTTAGCTCTGCCTCCTGACTGCTAATACTGAAGGGTGTGCCTGTTTCTGCATCTGTTGAGATTAAAGGCTGTGTCACCACACCCAGCACCACTGGTGCTGCTTTCTTAAGGAGTCAGAGAAAAGATGTGTGGTGTTTAAGTTGTTTATTTATGCGTATGCATGCGTGGATTTGTTCATATGACTGTAGTACTTGAAGGAGCCAGAAGAGGGCCTCAGTTCCCTGGAGCTGGAGTTGAGGCATTTGTGAGCTGCTTGCTCCATGTACATTCTGGGAACCAAACTCTGGCCTTCTATAAGAGCAGGACCCATTCTCTTTTTTTTTTTTTCTTTCTGTTACTCCTTAGATTTATTTTATTTTCAACCATGTGTATATGTGTGTATATGTCTGTGCGTGTAAATGCAAGTGCCTATAAAGACCAGAGATGTTGGAGCTGGAGTTACAGGTGGTTATTAGCCACCTGATGTGAGTGCTGGGAACCAAACTCAGGACCGTTAAAAGAGCAATAAAAATTCTTGATCTCTAAGCTATTGCTCCAGCCCCAAAGAACATGTTCTGAACTATTCTCTCCAGTCCCAGAGACATGGTTTTAATAAAGATGGTGAGATAATAAGCAATATCAGTCTTTGAGTACTAAGACACTTTTTCTAGAGCCAGATGTAGTAGCACACCCCTTTAATTCCAGCACTCAGGAGGCAGAGGCAGATGGATCCCTAAGTTTGAGGCCAGCCTGGTCTGCAGAGGGAGTTCCAGGACAGCCAGGGCTACACAGGGAAACCCTGACATGAAAAACTAAACAAAACAACAACAACAAAAAACAAAAATCATTTTCTAGAGGTGACATTCACATAGCATAAAGTTAACTGTTTCTTGTTAAGTGAGCAATTCAGTGACATTTACTGATTTTTAATGATTAGCTGTGTTACACAGTTGCCATCTCTAGTTCAAAAATATTTCATTACTCCACAGGGAAGCCCTGCCCACTAACCACCTGCTTTTTATTACTCTTTTTATTCACAGTCCATAAACAGCTACCAATCTACTGCATGATATCTGGGGGATAGGAAGCATTCTAGGTACTTCAGATAAGTGAAATTATGTGATGTATGACCTTTGCATTTTGCATCTGTTTGTTTTCATTTAGCATTATGTCCATGCTATAGCATGTATCAGTGCTTCACTCCTTTCTGTGGCTAAACAGCTTGCTGGTCAGCCAGGCTAGCTGAATCAGCATACTCCAGGCTCAATGAGAGACCTTTTCCTAAAAAAAAAAAAAAGAAAGAAAGAGGTAGAGAGCAAGTGCAGATACCACCTAACATTGACCTCTGGTCTCCACATGTATGTGAACATACACAGGTGAACACATATATATAGGTACACTAAAATAATACTACCATTTAATTATTTTGGAGTAATGATAATACTTTCATTGTACCATAAGAATGAAATCTGAATTTTAAGGCAACTTGTCTTTTCTCAATATCACAGACTTCGAGTTACCTGATGAAGACTTTGGGCCTCTTAAGCTTAAAAAGTTGAAGTCCTACTCAGAAAAGCTGATTGAGCCTCCTAACTTAAAAAACTATGGAGAGAGGCTTCCTTGGGAAAGAAATCATGCCACTCTGGAGGAACTGCAAATAGATTCAGAAATGGAGGACTTGAAAGAGGAACTCCCTGCTCCATCAAGAGAGGAACAGCATCCAGGGCCAACCCTGAAAAGGAAGCCTACCAGCAAGGGCCTTTCTTCATCCGTGCTGCTTTTCACTCCTACAGATACGGCTGCACCTAACTACAGTGGCAGATCTACTGCCTACCTGTGTTCACCTGCTTTCCCTGTCTTAGGCGTGACTCCAGCTTTTGCCTCCCAAGCAACCAGTGAGAATGTAGCCACTGAAATTAGGCAGACTTGCTCTACATCCCAGCCTTCTCACTTGGGAGACACAAGCAGACTTGCTAATAACAAACAATGCAACAGTTCAGCCAGCTCACCAAAACTGGATACCAACCTGCATGTGTCAGGTAGGCAAGGACAACCTGCCTGTGACAGTGACTCTGGCCCCCAAGCAACACCTCTACCCATTGAGTCATTCACTTTCAGAGAAAATCAGCTCTGTGGAAATGCATGCCTCAAGTTACATGAATATTCCACTGAACAGGTACAATTGTTTCCTTTGTGAAGTTTTCTCTGAAAGGATGAAATGTCCTAGTGAATATGGACAGCTGACTTTCTCACCATTGGCCTCTCAGTATTTATAAAGATGTTTTGCTATGTTTGATTGAAATGACTTCATTGTAAAGGTTATGTTCATTCTGGGAAAATGAAGGCTAATTAAATTATGTATTTCTTTAATCTTTTTTATTTTTATTTTATGTTCATTGGTGTTCTGCCTGCATGTATGTCTGTGTGAGGGTGTTGGGTCCTCTGGAGCTAGAGTCACTGACAGTTGTGAACTGCCATGTAGGTGCTGGGAATTGAACCCAGGTCCTCTTATAGTGCAGCCAGTGCTCCTAACCGCTGATCATCTCACCAGCCCCCTAAATTATGTATTTTAAAAATACAAGGAGGGTCCTATTCTCTTTGTCATCAGTGAGGTAGTTGTACTTGCTTTTGTGTTTTCAGTAGTAACATCTGAGGAAGCTTTGCAGCTGCATGAAAAAGGTAAGTGTCACAGAAAGTAAACTCACAGTATGACTTGTCTCCACAGACTGAAATCACAGACCTCCCTGCTTGTGACAGCTGGAACCCCGGCAGCCTACACTTGGTCTCAAAGTTCAAGGTTAGAAGAATATCCTGTTAAGTGTGCCTTATACATAACATGTGAAACATCGAATGAGTTGATAAGAAGGTTGGAAAGAATTCTGTCACTGATTTAATTGCTTGTTTGTTTAATACTAAATGTATTGAGAAACAGATGCAGAAAAGCAGATTTTAATTCTTTATCACAGTATTTAATTGTAGTTATGTTTTGGGTTATCTTTCTGAAATTTATGCTCCAACTTATTGCCAAGAACAACTTAACTATTTCTGTTGCCAAGAACAATTTACTATTTACAGAGTCTCACTATAGGCTGGCCTCAGAATCAGAGATCTGCTTGCCTCTGCCTCCCAAGTGCTCTGCTGGGATTAAAATCATGTTCCACCGTACCTGGCTTAATTTTTAAAAATGAACTTAAGTTTATTTAAATGAGCTGGGTAATTTATTTAAATCAGATGTTTTGACAAAGGAGGAGGGAGGGAGACAGGAGTTATTCATGCCTTTCCTGCTAAATGATAAAATATTCTTCAAGAGTCACTTGCTATTTATAAGAAAATGGGTCATGTGTAGTGGCACACAGTGTCTCAGGAGACAATAGACCATGAGTTTGAGGACAGTGTAGGCCACCTATCAGTTTCAAGGTCAGATTGGGCTATACAGTAAAATCTCAAGAAAAGGAAAGTCTCAATTCTGGGTTTTGATACATAATTGTTTAGTTACCATATCCAAAAATGTCTCCAAACATTGCTGAGTATTCTTGGAGATAGAGGTGCAGGTGTGGAGCCTTTTCCAGTTGGAAATCACTAGTATAGAGTATGACCTTCCAACTCACAAAAGTGCTGCTCCCAGTTACTGGCAGATTAGCCTCTGAGCTCCAGGTTCCTTTTCGGTATCAGGTACATAGGAGTAGCACCTATGCTCTGTTTCAAAGCTGTTTTATGTATGTACGGGTCTGTTTTATGTATGTACGTATGCATGTATGTATGTATGTATTCCTTTTATGTATGTACGTATGTATGTATGTATGTATGTATGTATGTATGTATTCTTCTCTCATACATTATATCCCAACCTCAGTTTACCTTCCTTCCACTCCTCCCCAACTCCCCTCCCATTTCCCTTCTCCCCTAAATGCTGTCCTCTTCAATTTCCCTTCAGAAAGGAACAGGCCTCCCAGGGATATCAACTGAACATGGCATACCAAGTTACAATAAAACTAGGCACAAACCCTCGTATCAAGGCTGGACAAGGCAACCAAGTAGGAGGAAAAGGGTCCCAAGAGCAGGGGAAAGAGTCAGTCATCTTCACTGCCACTGTTAGGAGTCTGACAAAAACACCAAGCTAACAACCATAACACATATGCAGAGGACCTAGCTCAGACCCGTACTGGGTCTGTAATTATCAGTTTAGTCTTTGTGAGCCCCTATGAGCCATGTTCTCTTGGTGTCCTCAACTCGTGTTAATTTAAACCTTAGATTCAAATGGAATTTATCATTTTGTTCATATTTTCAAATTTATATGTTAAAGGTTACAGTTGTTTTGTTTGGTTTTTGGAGACAGGATTTCTCTGTGTAGCCCTGGCTATCCTGGAACTTGCTTGGTAGACGAGGCTGGCCTCAAACTCACAGAGATCCACCTGCCTCTGCCTCCCAAATTCTAATATTAGAGGTGTGTGCCACTGTGTTCATCTCATTCTCCTATTTTTTAAATTTTATTTATTTATTTATTTGAAGCAGGGTCTGAAGCATACAAGACTGGCCTTATTCTCCCAATTTAACTTAGGGTAGTCTTAAACTTCTGATCTACTTCTACCTTCCAAGTTTGGGTGTGCTTGGATTACAGATTGTACCATTATGCCCAGTTTGTGGAGGGCTGGGGATTGAACCCAGGGCTTTGTATGCAATAGACAAGTACTTTGCCAAATAAGCCACATTCCCAGTCCTTATTCCTGCATTTCTGAAAGTAATTTCCTCTTGCATCAGACTTTTAAAATTTGTCTTTTTTGTTCATGTTTGTTTTCAAAAGCAACTAGTTCTTGATTGCACTGATTTTGTTTTGTTTTAGAGGTAGAGTCTCAGTGTGTGGCTCAGGCTGGCCTTAAACTCAGGATCCTCTTGTTTCTTTTTTTCTGTTATTGGGATTATAGCCATGCACCACCACACCTGGTCCATTCATTGTTTTTACTTTGTCCTCATTGTTTTGTTTGTGTTTTTATTACTTCATGGACTGTATGCAATCTATTTTATTTTTTTCTGAAAAAGACTGTTTTGGCCATGATTGTGGGTTTTGACACATAGTACTCTCCTTGTCCTAATCAAAAATGGCATATTAAAGTGAGGTATAGTAAGTGGTACATGCCTGTACTCCCTGCACTTGAAAGCCCAGCCTGATCTACCTTTCAAATTCTCACTCTACACAGTGAGACCCTGTCTTTAAAAAAAAAAGAAAAAAAGAAGGATATGATAATATGGTTTCAATTTTATTCTCTGTTTAATTCCCGAGTTGTTCACCAGGATGTTTAATTTCCAGACAGGTAAGTTCTTATGGGCTCTTTTTCTGAGGCTAAATCAGAGTGTATTCCATTTTACAATTACATAGTCTACCTTTGGTTTAGTTCTGGAGTTAAGACATTTTTACATTTATCATGATATAAATCTAATAGATGGTTTTGGGTATTTTGTTTGTTTTGTGACATAAATTTATAAGCTCTTTCTTATAACCTGCATAAAGCTTTGATTTTACTTAGCTGGTGTTTCTTCTCATCTTTGTGACTTCACTTTTTGAACTTACTCTTTCCATTAAGCAGAACTTTAACATAAGTTACCCTCCTGTGTCAGAACCCTTCTAGTTCCTGTTCTGTGGATGTGAGTGCCGTGTGGTGGGAAAGAGCTGGTGTTAAGGAACCATGTATCATAACTGCTTGTGAAGATGTAGTTTCTCTTTGGAAGCCCTTGGATACTTTGCAGTGGGAAAAAGTTCATACCTGGCAATTCACAGAGGTATGTCCAATCCTTAGAGCTGAAAGGTGCATTTACAATTCGATAGACAGCTTAGCAGAGATCTGTGACTCATGCTCAGCATTTATTATGAAACATCTCAAACTTAAAGTTTACATTGAGCACCACATGCTCACGATCTTGACTCCAGCGTTAGCATCATACTGTTTCATCATGCTTGTATGAAAGTAGCGTTCCACAGTGGGTCCGTTGGGAAGCTTGCATTTGAGTCTATTCTACCATTAAAACTGCTGATAGCTGTGTTTCTTCCCTTTCACCAAAATACGATTCTGTTTTCTATATATTATCTTTGCTTATCTTCATACACCTCTAATGTGGTTACAGTACTACTGTGTTAGAAATATTATTACTATTACTATCATTACTAATATTGTTAGTGTTTATGGGCATGTGCATGCCACTGCAAGTATTTGGAAGTCAAAAGACAGTTTCTAGGAATTGTTCTCTGCTAGTGCAAGTACCAGGGGTTGAACTCAGGTCACCAAGCTTGTACAACAAGTATTTTTACCTGCTGAACCATCTTCCCAGCCTCTGTGTTTAAGATTTTTAAATCAATATGAACATATACTCATTTCTATTTATTTCTTTTCTTTAGTGAGAGGGGAATCTTGATACAGGGTCTCATGTAGCCCAGGTTGGGCTTACCTTGAGCCCCTGCCCCTCCTGCCTCTACCTGTGAAGTACTGGGGTTATAGACACACACTGTATGTCTGGCTTTTCTATATATTCTTTATATGTATTTGTACTTGTTCCTTATTCTTCCTGTGCCCACAGCTTTGAGCACTGATGTTTGCACAAAGGTAACTGAATATCTATCTGCTCAGTGACTAATAAAATCTCCCTTCATGATCTGCCACGGAACTTCACCTTAGCCCCTAACATGAATGAATTTTTCTTTCTTCCTCCCTCCCTCCCTCCCTCCCTCCCCTCCTTCCTTCCCTTCCTTCCATCCTTCCTTCCTACCTTCCTTCCTTCCTTCCTTCCTTCCTTCCTTCCTTCCTTCCTGTATATTTGTGTGCAGGTGGTGCACCTATGTATTCAGGTTCAAGTACACAAGTTTGTGGGGACCAGAGGACAGCATCATGTGTGCATCACATGCTAGTTCTCAGTAGCTGTCCATCTTGCTTTTTGAGGTGGGGTCTATCATTGGCTTAGAACTCACTAATTAGGCTAATATGAATGGCCAAATAGAGTTCAGGTCAGTCAGGACTACTTCATGAGACTCTGTCTCAAAAAAACAAAGGGGAGTTGTGAGGGGCAAGAAGATTTTTCTGAACCTTCACATTTGTTTGGATATTGGAAATTAAACCTGATACATGAGAATTTTTTTTAAATTTATTTCTTATGTATGCGGTATTCTGTCTGCATGTATCCCTGCAGGCCAGAAGAGGGCACAAGATCTCACTACAGATGGTTATGAGCCATTATTTGGTTGCTGGAAATTGAACGCAGGACCTCTGGAAGACCAGCTAGTGTTCTTAGCCACTGAACCATCTCTCCAGCCCCCAATACATGAGAATTAAAGAGAATATGATTAGCTGGCTGAGGCCTGTAATCCCAGCTACTCAGGAGGCCAAGGCAGAAGGATCACAAGTTCAGGGTGAAACTAAACAACTTAATAAGACCCTATCTCAAAATAAAAAGAGAAAAGGCTAGGAATACAGCTTGGTTATAAAGTGTTTGCCTAGTATGAGCAAGACCCTATGCTCAGTTGTAATAACATAAAGAAAAGAATATGATAAAATTTTGTAAAATATTCATGAAGCTATAAATGACTGAGTATAATTTTGCTTTATGTAGGTTCCAGTGTTACAAATAGTTCCGGTGCCTGATGTTTATAATCTCATATGTGTGGCTTTGGGAAATTTGGAAATCAGAGAAATCAGGTATGCAATTTCTCAAGACTCCACACGTAATCTCTTGCTCTAACACCCTGCCATATTTATATTTGTTCTTTTCAGATTATTTTGAGTACATACTGTAACCTACACTTAAGTTTTAAAAGCAGGTTGTCTTAAAAGAATCTCTGTTTTTGAAGCTGGAGAGATGGCTCAGTGTTGAAGGCCACTTGCTGCTTCTACAGAAAAATCCAGGTTGGGTTCCCATCACCTTCATTAGATGGCTCACAACTACATTCAACTACAGATCCAGGAGCTTTAACACCCTCTTCTGACCTCTCCAGGCACCTACACATATGTGGTGCATGTACATATACTTAGGCACATAACCATAAAATAAGTAAATCTTTGTTTTGGGGGGGGGGATTTGCTTTTTGAGACAGGGTTTCTCTGTGTAGCCCTAGCCATCCTGGAACTCGCTCTGTAGAGCAGGCTGGTCTCAAACTCACAGAGATCCGCCTGCCTCTATTGTTTTGTTTTGTTTTGTTTTGTTTTCAGTTAATTTAGTTCCAGTCATAATGACATACTATAATCTTGGCCCTTGGGAAGCTGAAACAGGAGAATTAAGAGCTCAAGATCATCATCGTCCTTAGCTATGTAGGAAGTCCCAGGCCTACATAAGACTATCACTCAAAACAAACAAATGGGTTGGAGAGATGGCTCAGTGGCTAACAATGCTTACTACTCTGAGAAGACTGGGTTTGGTTCCCTACACCCACATGGTAGTAGGTTCACCACTACCTACTACCCTCCTCTGGCCTCTGTGGGCTCCTGTATGTGTGTGGGTGTGCACATAAACTCATGCAGGCATGCTCACATACACATAGAAATTCAAAGAAAGAAAGAAAGAAAGAAAGAAAGAAAGAAAGAAAGAAAGAAAGAAAGAAAGAAAGAAAGAAAGAAAGAAAGGAATCTCAGGGTGATGGAAAGATGGCTTAGCAGTTAAGCGTTCACACTACTCTTACAAGAGAATGCAAGTTCAATTTTCAGCACCCTTGTGGAGTAGCTTAACTACTACTTGTAACTCCAGCTTGAGGGGATCTGACACCTTCCTCTGGCTTCTGTAGACAATGCACTTAGGTGCATATACTCACACCGACACACCATCATATGTAATTGAAAATAAAAATAATTTTTAATCTTAAAAGAGATCCAGGTGGGGCTAGAGAAATGACTCAGCAGTTAAGAGCACTAGCTAGATCTGGGTTCAATTCCCACCACCCACATGGCAGCTCACAACTGTCTGTAGTTCCAGTTGTAGGGGATCCAACATCCTCACACAGACATGCAGGCAGGCAAAACACTAATGCATATAAAATAAAAATAAATCATTTAGAGACAGAGAGAGATATCCAGGCATGGTGGCACATTACACTCCTAATGCTGTCAAATCTGAGGGAGAATTGTGAGTTTTAAGCCAGCCTGGACTACAGGAATCACTGTTTGAAGTGTTTTGAAAGGGGAATATGAATTTATTTCTAAAAAGAGATGTGTTGTTTTGGTTTTTTTTAAATCTAGCTGAGCATGATAGCACAAACTTTTAAACTTAGCACTTAGCAGACAGAGGCAGGCAAGCCTCTGAATTTGAGGCCAGCCTGATCTATGTTGTAAGTTCAAAGCTGTCAGGGCTACATACTGAGACTTTGCCTTAAAAAGTTCTAGTAGGGAAAAAAAAAAGCCGAGTGGTGGTGGTACACGCCTTTAATCCCAGCACTCAGGAGGCAGAGGCAGGAGAATCTTGAGTTCAAGACCAACCTGGTCTACAAATTGAGTTCCAGGACAGATTCCAAAGCTACACAGAAAAACCCTGTCTCGAAAAATCAAACAAACAAACAAAAAAAAAAAAAATTCTAGCAGCTGGAGAGATGGCTTAGCAGTTCAGAATACAACACCCACATGACAATCCAGGTGCCCTTCAGGCACCTGGAGACCCAGCTCTGAGATGTCCTAATTCCTCTTCTGGCCTTCAGGCACCAGGACCCACATCCACATGTATGTACGTACGTACATACATACATACATACATACATACATACATACATACATACATACATACATGCATACATGCATACATACACACACACACAAAAAAAATATAAAATCCTTAAAAAATAAGCCATGTGTAGACTGACATCTTTGACTAACATACAAATAAAATAAAATCCTTAAAAAATAAAACACAGAGAAACACCGTCTCGAGAAACAAAAAATATATAAATAAAAAGATAAAATAAAGCCATGTGCAGACTGACATCTTTGACTGAAATTGCTATTTAAAACTTGTGCTCAGTCCCTTATTGCTCACTCCTTACTGACTTCTCCCCATTTGTCTTTTGTATTTGGTTTAGGGCATTGCTGTGCTCCTCTGGTGATGAAAGTGAAAAGCAAGTACTACTGAAATCTGGAAATATAAAAGCTGTGCTTGGCTTGACAAAGAGAAGACTAGTTAGTAGCATTGGAACCTTTTGCAATCAACAAATACAAATCATGACATTTGCTGAAGATGGAGGGTGAGAAAAGCATTGGTTGGTCCCAGGCCGCAGGGAAAGTGTATGACTAGGATCCTGATTTTCTATGGTATAGGTGGAGTAGTAGGCTTAGTCAGGGTTTCTGTTGCTGTGAAGAGACACCATGACCACGGCAACTCTTATAAAGAAACCATTTAATTGGGGTGGCTTACAGTTCAGAGGCTCAGTCCGTTATCATGATGGGGAGCATGGCAACATGCAGGCAGACATGGTGGACTAATAGCTGAGAGTGCTACATCTTGCAGGTAAGAAGAGGTTGACTGAGACACTGGGTGGTATCCTGAGCATAGGAAACCTCAAAACCTGCCCCCATAGTAACACACTAGCTCCAACAAGGCCATACCTACTCCTACAAAGCCACACCTCCTAATAGTGCCACTCCCTATAAGCTTATGGGGGTTTATTATATTCAAACTACTACAAGTAGCAAACATGGTCTTAATGCCATATTACAACCAACAAGCAGACGGAAAATGTGGAAGCCAGGGAAACCAGTGGAGTAGAGAGGATTAGCAAATGTAGTTTGCTCTCTCTTTGGCTTTCCCTTAAGATTAGAAGTACCTTGTTCCACATACTCTTTCATGTCCATTGCTCACTGACCATCTAGATGCAAGGTCTAAACTACTCATACTCTAGACTTGCATGCTTGTTTAATGGCCATCTCTTAGGTACTTCAAGTTCAGCACATGGAAACCTAAACAACAAACATTTTCTCTTTTATCATGTCATATCACAAACTTTTTTTTTCCTACTTTGTTATACTTTAGTCCTGGGGATTGAACCCTGAACAGTATTAAGCATAGTCTTCTGCTGAGCTACACCCTTAGCCTGTTGTAATTATTGTTTTTTGTCATTCCTAATAACTGAGGACAGGCTTATTTGTCATAGTTAAACCTCAACCAACATGGTAATACAGGCAAGAGCCAAGTGAGTCCTTAAATTAAAAAAGTGAACCACTTGTGGTGGTACACACCTCTAATTCCAGTAATTGGGAGAATTGATGTGAGTATAGGTCAGCCTGGGCTATATAGTGAGTACTGTTCAGTCACCTGAACAGAAAATGACCCTGACTCAAATCAAACAATCACCAGGAAAGTGTTGGTAGACAAAGAAAGAATACAGATCTGTGAAAAATGAACCTATAGAGTCACTAAACCTAGAGGGACTACTTAGAAATTGTTTTGACTTAAAAAGTGATTTCAGTACTGTTTTATATACAGTAGCAAAGATGAACAGCTTTTGATGCCCCCTGATGAGACTATATTGACTTTTGCTGAAGTCCAGGGGATGCAGGATGCTCTGCTTGGTACCACCACTGTGAACAACATTGTGATCTGGTAAGCTTTCACTCTGAGTCCTCATCTACATATGCATATATGCTTCTGTTCGTGTAGAGTTGTGAAGATTAGATATGCTGGGCATGGCCAGGGTATTATGCTACATACCCATAATCCCAGAACACAGGAGACTGAGGGGAGAAGGCTGATTTGGTCACAGCTGGATTCCAGGAAAGATCCTGCCTCAGAAAAAGAGACTGCAAACATGATGGAAGTTTTCTCTTTTCCACTCTTAAGCTTTGTCTTTGTCTCGCCAAGAAAATGAACCCAGATATGTGAAAAAGAACAATATTAAGGAAACTATTTTTAAGATAAAGTATCCTCCGTGGGCACTAGGCACATACATGGTTCATAGATATACATACAGGAAAAACATCCATACACAGAAAATCAAATGTCATACATGGTTCATAGATATACATACAGGAAAAACATCCATACACAGAAAATCAAAAACAGGATTTTTTTTTTTAAAGTGTCATTTGCCTGATATGTGCAAGGCCTTGGGTTCAATGCTCACTACTGCAAAATAGATAATCAGTTAGTCAGTAAAAGTAAATGAAGGGAACTTTTTGGTAAAAATATAGAGCTGCAGACTATGTGTAACTTTGTGATAGTGTTGACCAAAGGATAGAGTCCAAGGTAACTAGGAAGTAGCAAGTAGAAAGAAATGTCTCAAGAAGAAAATTGACAAGGAAGGAATGCTAGGGGTAGGATCTTCATTCACTTAGAAATGTGAATACTATCCACATGTATATACACACAGAATTGAAAAAAGGCAGAAGAAAGAAACCCAAGCTTTTCCCCCTGTCCTTTGTGCACACTCACACATGAAAAAGGAACCATAAGTTCTGAGTATGATTACCTAATTACCCAGCATACTTATTTTTGGCTTTGAAACAGGGTCTCACCATGCAGCCAGGCCATGCACACATTCAACTGCCATCTTAGCTGAGTGCCTGAGCAGTGGGATTACAAGTGTTCATTACCACTCCTGGCTCTAGCTAGCCCTTTATAAACTACTTTTTACAAGGTAAACTATAAGCAGTTCCATTAAGGCTTAAAGAATTGAACTAGAAGTTCTGCATTTGGAGTTTGAATTCAGCCAAGTTAACTGTTTACTAGCACAAATAAATGACATCACTATTCTTCAGAGGAACCTAAACAGAATCCAGTTTTGTAGTGTTGTATCTGAGATAGTCTGAAAATATTAAGTATGGGAAGTACATTGACATTCCTAGCAAGTCCTCTGTGTTTTCCCCCATTAGTAGCTAGTAGTGAGGTATTTGGCTGTTCTTTGTTTTTTGACACAGGGTCTCAGTGCAGTCCAGGATGGCCACTAACTCACATTCCTCCTACCTTAGACTCCCAAGTGCAAAAAATTACAGATGCACCTTCATATCTACCTTAGCTCTGTAAGGAAAGGACTCAAAACATATTAGTTGTGCCATCAACCAGAATCTATCATTGACCTTTAGTTATTCATTTGTTGTTTGCTTGTTTGCTGTCAAGACTGGCTATTTGGCCCAGGCTGACTGGAACTCACTATGTAATCCATGCTAGTCTCATGTGTGATTCTCCTGTCACAGTGTCCCAGATTCCATGATTACACATGTATGCTGCCACATTCAGCTAATTTTCTTTATGGTATTTGTTTACCTTTCCTTTTTTTTTTTTTTTTTTGGTTTTTTGAGACAGGGTTTCTCTGTGGCTTTGGAGGCTGTCCTGGAACTAGCTCTTGTAGACCAGGCTGGTCTCGAACTCACAGAGATCCGCCTGCCTCTGCCTCCCGAGTGCTGGGATTAAAGACGTGCGCCACCACTGCCTGGTACCTTTCCTATTTTTGATTTGTTCTATTTCTGAAGTGATTCATATTATACTGTTTGAGTAGTTTGTGTATGAGGTTTGGTTAGAGGACAACTTTTCAGTTTTTCTTGAGGCAGGGTCTCTGTTTCTGTTCCTTCGCTTATATTCCAGCCTAGCTGGCCTGTTGAGTTTCTTGCTGATTCTCCCCTTTTTCCCTCCCATCTCTTATAGGAGTGATGGATTGCAGATGCTTGCCATTGTAGCTGGTTTTGGGGGGCAGGACTTCTGGGCATTGAACTCCGATCACCAGGCTTGCCTAGCAAGTACTTTTACCTGCTGAGCCTTCTCTCTGGCCCTCAGATAGCTGGGGTTTTTTTTTTTTTTTTTCCCCTAACTATTGCTTTAGGTCTAAATATTTCATCTTGTTTAAGCTGTATTTGCTGAGTACTATGTTTCAAGCATTAAAGAGACAGTTCTGTACAATTCTCTTTAAAAGCGCAGAGGTGAATCAAATATGAATCCTGTCCCAAGGTTCCTAAAACCTAATAGGTAAATAAGATTTTACAATTTGAAGTATATCACTTTGATAAGTTCCTTTATAGTTCAAAGAATTTGAAATAATATGGGTTTAGACAAAATGCTTTGGGATACGGGGGAACGCACTTAGTAAATACAGAGCACACACGTTAATTTCAGTAGCTTATAAACATACCCTGGTATCTTGGATAGGATCAATCTTAGTGTTTTTATATGCAGTTCCTGCCCAAAGAAAGTTCTTTGTTAGTTGAATTAACATATTATATTTTGTTGTAGCATATAAAATGAGATGTGGACAGTTTCGTGGGTAGTGAAAAGGGAAGGGTGGCTGTGAACTAGTATAGTTAGGGAGGTGAGTTTAAGTTGAGTTCCTGCAGACTGGAAGAGTGGGACGTGATCTAGGACTTAAGGAATGAATGGGCATTTCCCAACAGTCAGGAGGACATTGGAAGGGATAACCTGAGGAAAGGTATAGAGCCAGGGGAATACACAGTATGTTCGAGAGCGGGAACAATTGGCAGTAATATGGCAGCCCTTGACCTGTAAGGTTATAAATGTCACAGAAGTAATCTTGTGGCTAATGAGAAGCTGAGGGAAAGTTTTCCATCAACACAGTGATGATGGATCTGTTACCAGCATCACAGATCCTCTGCACAGATGAGGAGCAGTTCCAACAACAGTTTCCTTCCTTTTACTTACCCTTTCTTTTTCCTATGTTTTATTCTACCACAGTCTCCTTGCTGGTGCCATTATTTTGGACTAACTCTGATAGAAATAAGTAAAATACAAATAGCTATAAATATTTTTTGTTTTTTTAATACTGTTTTTATTTTTTATTTTTCTTATTTAATTAATTAATTATTTATTTATTTATTTATTTATTTATTTATTTATTTATTTATTTGGTTTTTCAAGACAGAGTTTCCCTGTAGCTTTGGAGGGTGTCCTGGAACTTGCTCTGTAGACCAGGCTGGTCTCAAACTCACAGAGATCTGCCTGCCTCTGCCTCACGAGTGATGGGATTAAAGGCGCGAGCTACCAATGCCTGGCTGGGTTTTTTGTTTTGTTTTTAAGGAGCTCTGGTAAAGTTTTATTAAAGGAAAGCTTTCATGGTTTACCAGTCTGTTCTGACATGCTTCTGATAACATCAGAGTTACCTGGGTCAATGACAGCAAGTGTGCATGCTCTATAGTATTTTCCACATGCTGTGCCCCATCTAATGTTATTGCCACTATAGTAGTGATGGACACCAGTTTTTAGCCAACATGGCATAGTATTGTATTTCAGATTTCCTCAAAGCTGGGCAGTTGTTGGTAAGGATAGCCAATTTCACTGTGCCCTGTCTGCTCATCTTCAAGGTCTATCTGTATCCCAGCATGTACTTTCCACGTTTCATAATAAGTTGGAACGTAAAGTTGATCAACTCCTGAGACTTTTTTGTCTTCTTTTTGGATACCATCTTCCTCCCTTAGGTGCTAGACAGCCCTAACAAAGACCAGCTATCAAGATGGAAGGGGAGTGAAAAAAAGCACTATAAATGTTTTTGTTTTGTTTTTTTAAGTGTAATTTGGTAATGTGGTCATTCTCAGTGGGAAACATACGAATAACAAGAATGAGCACAAACTGGAGCAACACCTGTCAGGAAGCTCACAGCCACCTGTAACTCCAGTTCCAAGGGATCCAATGCCCTCTTCTGGCCTCTGCTGTCACTGCATGCAAGTGTCTTAAATACAGACAAGCAGGCATACAGTGTGTGTATAAAAATATTTGGGGGGAGGGGCAGCAAATCATTTTTTATTTATTTTATTTGGTTTTTTAAGATAGGGTTTCTCTGTGTAGCATTGGCATTCCTGAAACTTGCTTTGTAGACTGAGCTGGCCTCAAAGTCACAAAGATCTGTTTGCCCCTGTTTTCTCGAGTGTTGGAATTAAAAGTGTGTGCCACCACCATTGAGGGGGTGGGGGAACAACTCATAATGATGAATGGTGTAACTTGTAGCTGGCTTAATTCCAAGCACAGGAAGATGGAGGAATATGTTGAGTAGATTGTAGAGAGATTATCCACAGTGGTGTAGCTGAGGTTCACCCAAGGCTAAACTGTCAAGTTGAATTTTTGGCAAAGTTAACTTGTCATTACACTTTTAATAAGGGTATATAAAGTGCTGGGCATGGTGGTGAATGTCCATAATCCCAGCACTCGGGAGGCAGAGGCGGATCTCTGTGAGTTCGAGACCAGCCTGGTCTACAAGAGCTAGTTCCAAAACAGCCTCCAAAGCCACAAAGAAACCCTGTCTTGAAAAACCAAAAAAGAAAGAAGGAAGGAAGGAAGGAAGGAAGGAAGGAAGGAAGGAAGGAAGGAAGGAAGGAAAAAGAAAGAAAGAAAGAAAGAAAGAAAGAAAGAAAGAAAGAAAGGGAAAGAAAGGAAGGAAGTTCTAGACTAGCCAGGACCAATTAGTGAGATGTTATCTCAGAAAACAAAAAGTAGTATATCATATATGGCTTTATAAAAAGTACAGGGCTCTGTACCTTTCTGATTTCCTTTTGCCACCTCCCAAAATAGTCTGTAACAAGTAAAGAGCATTATGTGTGAGTCAGGCATGGTGGTGCAGACCTGCTATACCAGCATTGAGAGACTGAGGCTAGAAGAACACAAGTTTGAGGCTAGCATAGGCTACATAGTAGTACCCTATCTTCAGATAGTGGAAAAAAGTATGTTATGTGAAAAGCATTTTACTGAAAGAATGTAATCATTCCATTTATTTTGATGTCTAAGGAATTTAAAGACTGGCCAACTCCTGAAAAAGGTGCACATTGATGACTCTTACCAAGCTTCGATCTGTCACAGAGCCTATTCTGAGATGGTGAGTGGTAATGCAGGTCCACTTGGTTTTATTTATGTTATCTATTGGTCTCACTAGTGAGAGTAGTAACAATAGCAGTCATCAAATTGGATGGGAGTGTACTGTGCTTTACTTTGAGACAGGGTCTCATGTAGCCTAGGCTGGCCTGAAACCATGTATTGAGTAAAATGATCTTAAACTTATGATTCCCCTGCTTTTGCCTGTCCAGTAGGATTGCTGGCACATGATAGATACTGTATTGACTGAGCAACATTCCTAGCCTATTTGTTCTTTTTTAAATTTATGAATGAAAATAAATGGTAGTACAATGTGATTGCTTATCTCATTTTCTACCTGTATAATTTAAAGACTCACATTCTAAGCTATGAATTTTGTTTGTATTTTTAGAACACCTAACTACTTAAAAAGGAAAAGGAAGGAAAATCATGATAGAGCCCCGATTGGTTTAGAATTCAGTATGTAGATCAGGCTGTCACAAAATCTTGAACCTAGCTTTTATAATCTGTTAAGAAAGTTGAATTTATTTCTACAATTTACCTGTTTTTCATTTAAGTAATTGGTATATACTGATTATTCCTAGTTGATGTCCTTTAAAGCAGGGGAAGGTCTTAAATGAGTTATTTCCAATTTGAGGGCTCTATGTCTCTGTGACCTCCTACCCTGTGCCAGCCTTTTCCTGAATCGATGACACAAGGTGTAGCTAAAGCATAGGAAACTGATGAGTCAGCTGGATTCAGGATGGCAGGATGGCCGAGGATCCAGAAGTTCAGTGTGGAGAACCTTTCAGCAGTTGCTATATGAACAAAGGGAAGCCAGTCTTGCTTATCGAAGAGTCTGTTGGTCATTCCTTTTGCTTTGGTTTTGTCAGCACTGCCAAACATACTCTTGATGTTCTGATTGGTTATTTCTCTCTCATCAGGGGCTCCTGTTTGTTGTTCTGAGTCATCCTTGTGCCAAAGAGAGCCAGGCCTTTGGAAGCCCCATGTTTCAGCTTCTGGTGATTAACCCTAAGACAGCTCAGAGTGTGCGTGTTCTGCTATGCTGTCTTCCTCAAGGGCAGGCTGGAAGGTAAGGTTGGGACTGCTGTTCAAGGGTGAGGTATTTTAAAGCTGGGTACTTTTGTATTACTAGAATGAGTAGAACACATGAGATGCTAAAGGCTGCTGGGCTAGAGATGTTGCTCAGTGTGTGTGTTCTGACTTGTCTAGTGTGCCTGATACCCTGGGTTCAAGATCTCTTCCACCAGCTGGGGAGATGGCTTGCTGACTACAAGCCCAGTTACCTGAGTTTGACCCCAGGAATCCATGGTGGAAGTAAAAACCAACTCCTATTTGTCCTCTGACTGCCACGTGGCCTTTGTGCCATGTATATGTGTAGCTGTATTCACAGACACATCATACATAGTAATAAATACAATAACATAAATATACAATACAATAAGTAAATACAGTGGTGCATGCCTTTAATCCCTTTGAGAGTCAGAAAGAGGAGGATCTCTATAAGTTCAAGGCCAGCCTTGGCTATGTAGCAAGTTCCAGGAGTACGAAAAGAGACCCTGTCTCGGAAAATAAGTAAATAAATAAATAAATCTTTTTAAAAAATCCTCATTACTGAGAGTAGCAGGAGTAAAGAATATGTTTACTGGAATTGAGTCAAATTTTAGACTCCCTATTTCCTCAGTATGGATTAAATAGGTTTTTCTTTTTTGCGTTTTATTTATGTGTATGGATATTTCTACTGCATATATGTCTGTACACTACTTGCATGCCTGGTGCCCCTGGAAGGCAGAAGAGGACATAAGATCTCCTAGAACTGGAGTTACATCTGTGAGTTGCCATGTGGGTTCTGGGAGACCTGGGTCCTCTGGGAAAGCGTCCGTGCTCTTAACTACTGAGCCGTCTCTCCAGCCCCTCTTTTTTCTGTTCTGTTTTCTTTCCTTCCTTCCTTTCTTCCTTCCTTCCTTCCTTCCTTCCTTCTTTCTTTCTGTTGTTTTTCTTTTGTTTTTTTAAGACAGAGTTTTTCTGTGTATTCCTGGCTGTCCTGGAACACAAAAACCAGACTGGCCCTGAATTTAGAGATCAGCCTGCATCTCTTGAGTGCTGGAATTAAAGGCATGTGCTACCAACCACCCAGCCTAAGCCTGCATTTTATGCTTGCTAGGCAAGAACTCAACCACAGAGCCACATCCTTAGCCCTAGATTTGTTTCTTTGTTCTTAAAACACATATAGCAGCTGGGCCATGCCTTCGATCCCTGCACTCAGGAGGCAGAGGCAGGTGGATCTCTGTGAGTTTGAGGCCAGCCTGGTCTACAGAGCAAGTTCCAGGACAGCCTCCAAAACAATACAGAGAAACCCTGTCTCAGAAAAAAAAAAAAAAAAAAAAAAGTCTTGTAAGGCAAGGCTAAAATATAACTCTGCTTATTAGCACACTTGAGGCCCTTGATTCATTATCTGTTGCACAAATAAGAACAAGACTAAGAAGGCTGGCCTTTACCTAACTGGTAGCTCATTTGTCTAGCAGGCACAAGGACCTGGTTTGACAGCACCACAAAGTTATTTCTCATGTATACATAAGCAGAAGGATGTAGGCTCAAGGCCGATCTTAGTTACATAGCAAGACCCTGACTGGAAAAGACCAGGAAAAAAAAAAAAGAAGAAGAACTTTTGCAATTTATAGTCTTTCTAGAAGACATAAAGTAGGTCTGGAGAGATAGATCAGTAGTTATAAGTGTGTACTACTGTTGCTGAAGACCCAAGTTCTGTTTCCAGCACTATGTCAGGCAACTTATAACTGTTTGTAATGACAGGTCCAAAAGATGTTTCTGGCCTCTGTGGACACCAGCAATCACATGCACATATGTACACATAGGTATATACACATAGTTAAAAAAATACATTTTTTAAAAAGACCTAGCTTTAGGGGCTGGAGAGATGGCTCAGCGGTTAAGAGCACTGCCTGTTCTTCCAAAGGTCCTTAGTTCAATTCCCAGCAACCACATGATGGCTCACAACCATCTGTAATGAGATTTTGTGCCCTTTACTGGCCTGCATACATTCATGCAGGCTGAACACTGTACATATAATAATAAATAAATAAATCTTTATAAAAAGAGAAAAAAATAAAAAGACCTAGCTTTTTAAATGAACTTTAGGTAGTACTTTTAATATGAAGTCTGACCTAACCTTTACTGTTCAGGCATCTATTTATTTGTTGATAAGTATTTGGTTTTTGTTTTTGGTGTTTGTTTTTAGAGACAGGGTTTCTCTGTATTGCTTTGGAGCCTATCCTGGCACTCACTATATAGACCAGGCTGGCTTTGAACTCACAGAGATCCACCTGCTGCTGCCTCCTGAGTGCTAGGATTAAAGGCATGCGCCACCAACGCCCAGCAAGTATTTGTTTATTGACTGATGCAAAGGCACAAGCATTTTCTAACTGTATAGGCTTTGACATTGTTCAGTGCCCATTTAGGGGAGAAGGCCTTGGATACCCTAGGACTGGACTTAAAGATGGTCATGAGGTACCATGTGGGTTCTGGAAGTCAAACTCAGATCCTCTAGAAAAGCAGCTAATACTTTTAATTTTAACCCCTGAGCCTGAAGGGAGCAAGCAAAAGCACCTTGGCCTAAGTACTGCCATTTTGACTTCAGACTCCATTTTATCTGTAGGGTGAAACACAGTTCGAGTTCCCAGGCCCTCAGGGAACTGAGAACTTTCCAATGGCTGACCAACCTCCTCCTTAAACAATAGAAACAGTCTGTTATGCCCCTTAGTTCTCTAAGACATTATGGCTGCTCCTAACAACAGAAAGAACAGATGAATCTGATTGGTTGAACATTCTATGCAGGTTGACAATGATGGGACACAGGGAAAGCCCCTAATTCCTGAATCCTGATTGGTGAAAAATGTAACTGGAACTTGGAACAAATGTATTTATGGTTTTGTGCTGATAAACCCGCTTCAGCCCCTGTCCGGGGCTGCCAGGAGAAACAAGGCTCCTGCCCGAGTCCTTGTCCTGCAGCCCTGATCAATCAGTAACCTGATTATGTGGTGATTTATTAAAGACTTTGGAACCCGTTAAGTGTTGTCTCTCTCCTTCCTTGTGGCTCACAAGAGACTGGGTATAACAAGCCATCTCTCCACTTCCCCAAATTTGGGATTGGGGGGGTTGTTTGTTTTTTATTTTTTTAATGTAAGTATGTGGGCCTGCATTTGTTTCTGAACCTGGTATATACAATGCCCACAGAGGCCAGAAGATGTCAGATTGTAACTGGAGTTACAATGGTTGTGAGCTACCATGTGGGTGCTGGGAATCAAACTATAATCCTCTGGAAGAACAGCCCAACCAATTCTTTTAACTTCAGAGTCAGCTGTCCAGCCTCTGCACTCCGCCAAAGCTTTTGTTTTTTTGTCGTTTTGTTTTTTGTTTGTCTGTTTGTTTTTGAGACAGGGTTTTTCTGTGTAGTCTAAGCTGTCCTGGAACTCACTCTGTAGATCAGGCTGGCCTCAAACTCACAGAAATCTGCCCGCCACCACCTCACAGCTTCCCGGAAAAAGCTTTTTAATCAAACTGTTTTACTTATCCTCATAACAATGCTATGAAGTAAATGTCTCACCATCCCCATCTATTAATGAGGTTAATTTGCTCGGGGTCACACAACACTTAGTTGTCTTTAGAATTTAAGCTTAGGAGTATAATACAGAGCCCCTTTTTGTTTGTTTGTTTATTATTTTTTTAGTAAGTATGAGTATGGAGGATAGAGGACAACTTGTGGGAATCAGTTCTCTCCTTTCACCATATGGGTTCCAGGAATTATCAAACACACATAAACAGACACTATTTACTTATAAATAAGTAAATGTAAGTTTTTTTAATCTGAGGAAAAAATAAGAAAAGGGTGAGGATATAGTTCAGTGGTAGAACCTAGCAAGGTGTCATGCCTGTGGGTGGGTTCTAGTGATCCCTTAAGACTGCCAAAAAATAAGGTAACCTTGGGAATTTGGAGATGTATACTCCCAAATATGGAAACATAATCTCTCATATAGTGACAAGTGTTGTGATTATAAAAACATAATATAACAAAGCAGGGACAGCCGGGGTGTTGGTGGCGCACGTCTTTAATCCCAGCACTCGGGAGGCAGAGGCAGGCGGATCTCTGTGAGTTCGAGGCCAGCCTGGTCTACAAGAGCTAGTTCCAGGACAGCCTCCAAAGCCACAGAGAAACCCGGTCTCAAAAAAAAACAAAAAAAAGGGTCTGGAGAGATGGCTCAGTGGTTAAGAGCACTGGCTGCTCTTCCAGAGGTCCTAAGTTCAATTCCCAGCAACCACATGGTGGCTCACAACCATCCGTTATGAGATCTGGTGCCCTCTTCTGGTGTGCAGATATACATGGAAGCAAAATGTTATATACATAATAAATAAACAAAATCTTTAAAAAAAAAAACAAAAAACAAAAACAAAACAAAGCAGGGACAGTGTGTTTGCAGTGCTTCAGGTGAACTTTTCATGGTTGTGGCACACCTGGGTGATAAGTTTCCAGGCATGCTACCATTCAGGGCTAGAGTCTTACAGAGACACTAGGAAGAACAAGTTCACTCAGGTGAGACTAAGTGTGGAGCATGGAAAAGGTAAGGGGCCTCTGTAAGCAGGTGTAAGTGGGCTAAGAAGCAGCAACTGGATTATGGTGTCCAGGGCTTGCATTCCTTTACGTGTGTTTTAGGTGTTCACAGTGAGAGGGGGTTTGGTTTTGGCTGATTTGGGGGAGCATGATATTTTTAAAGCATTTTAAATTTTATGTTCTACGTTTTATTTATTTTGTTTGGGGCATGTGTCATGATGAGCACGTGGTAGCCAGAGATCAAGTTTCAGTGATCACTTTTCTCTCCATCGTGTGGGTTCCAGGGATTAAACATGGTGGTTAGTGAAGTGCCTTTTCTGCAGAGCCATCTCTAGCTTTTTGACGCCTTAGATGTGGGATCTGAATTGTCTCTTTTTCTTTGTCTCAGGTTCCTGGAAGGGGATGTGAAAGATCACATTGCAGCAGCAGTCCTGACTTCTGGGACAATTGCCATTTGGGACTTGCTTTTGGGTCACTGCACTGCTGTCCTCCCACCTGTCTCTGATCAGAATTGGTCTTTGGTTAAATGGTCAGGTACAGACTCTCACTTGCTAGCTGGACAAAAGGATGGAAATATATTCATATACCGCTACTTTTAAGAGGCATAGTTTCCTGGGTATTTGGCTCTTAATAGTTTTTTTGAAAAAGAATACAATATCTAAAAGACATTTGACCTGATTGCTTGAATGAGTTCCCACAAACTTAATTTTATTTTGATGGTGTCACTACTGACAATATTTGTTTGTGTTTATGGTGTTATGTTTTTAAATCCATATTTGCACATTTGCTATTACAGGTGTACATAAACAGTAAATGTTAATAAATATTTATTTTGAAACATTCTGCTTGGCGTGTTCCCTTTTTTTTTTTCACAGTCTGTTCAGGTCATTTCAAAAATACAAATTACTTAGAAGGCTAGGGAAGACAATTCGTGAAGTGCTTGTGTGTACCTGACATCAATTACCAGGAACGAAAATGGTATAACAACAGGGTTCTAATTCTGGGACTAGGAAGGCAAAGATAGCCAGAACCCTAGGGCCTCTCTGGTCAGCCAAGTTAACCTAATTGACAAGATACAGGCCCATGAAAGACCCTGTCTCAAAATCAAAGTAGATAACACCCAAGGAATACCACCCAAGGTTGTTCTCTGGCATCATGCACACTGGTACATGTGTAGTATATATACACAAAGATAACATAGACAACTAGAATACCTAGTCAATAATATTTGGATAATAAAAATATTTCAGTTAGATTTGAATATATACTTTTTGTTTAACTTAAGTGTTTTTTAGTTATACATGTATACAGCGTAGTTTGATCATCTCTGATCCCCATCCCCTTGTTTATTTGCTGATTACATTTTTACTTAATGAGTGTGTGTGTACATACATATACGCCATAGTGTACTTATGGAAGTCAGCTTATAGGAGTGGGTTCTTTCCTTTCACCATGTGGGACCTAGAGATTAAACTCTGTTGTCGCCTTTTATGTGCTGAGCCATCTCACTGACCCTGTCTATTTCTAAAAGACTACATAACCCAGGCTGCCCTCAGATTTAATATCCTTCTGCCTCAGGCTCTCCAGGTGCTGGGGTTATAGGTGTGTACCACCATGCCCACAATGTACCCCCCCTTTTTTTTATAATGATCTCACTATGTAAACTAGGTAGCCCTGGCTGACCTGGAATTCCCTATATAGATCAGGTAGGCCCCAAACTCACAGAGATCTGCCTGCATCTACCTCCCAAATGATGAATTAAAGAGTACAGCACCATGCCTCACCTCACAGTATACTTTCAATGCTGTTTTCATACATTTCATACTGCTTGATTTTCATACATTTGTTAAAACTAACTCAAAACAGCCAGACATGGTGGTACACACTTTTTTGGGTTTTTTGTTTGTTTTTTGATTTTTTTGAGACAGGGTTTCTCTGTATTGCTTTGGAGGTTGTCCTGGAACTCGCTCTGTAGAACAGGCTGGCTCTAACTCACAGAGATCTGCCTGCCTCTGCCTCCCAAGTGCTGGGGCTAAAGGCTTGCGCCACCAACGCCTAGCTGGTGGTGCACATTTTTAAGCCTAGCAGTTGTAGTCGGAGTGCGGACAGAGGCAGGTGGATCTCTTGAGTTCGAAGTCAACCTGGTCTACAGAGCTAGTTCTAGGACAGCAGGACTGTTACAACCTGTTGAAACCCTGTCTCAAAAAAAAAAAAAAAAAAAAAAAGTAAAAGAAAGAAGAAAGAAGGAAATTCAAAACGGAATTTTTTTAAAAATCCTAGTTTAGGGACTGGAGAGATAACTTAAGAGTTAAGAATACTTCCAGAGGACCCCAGTTAGACTCCCAGCGCCCATGTCAAGCAGCTTACAACTTCCCCTAACTTGAGCTCTAGGGGATCTGTTACCCTCCTCTGACCCTGGCATGCACCCACACAGGTAACAAATATTCACACAGAAACAGACACACAAATAAGTACATCTTAAAAAAAAAAAAAGAAATCTTACATTAGAGATGGCCTTGCTCTTTCCCATTCTCATGTGCATCCTCAAGTATCACTAGTGGTGCATCACCCACCCACCCCCCTCATGTGATAGGGTCTTATGTAGGGTGGAGTCCTGGGCAGACCTTGAACTCTGTGTAACTGAAGAGAGCCTCAAACTTCGAACTTCCTGTTTCCACTCGTGAGTGAATAGCAAAGTACATGATTCCATCACTTTGGAAGTAGAGATAAGTCAGCCTCAGCTATGTAACAAGTTCGAGGCTGGTCTGGGAACATATAAGATCAGTCCAAAAAAAGAGATGGAGAAGGAAGAAAAAACTTGAGTAGGGCGAGATCATAGCTCCCATGCCATGAAGACTGAATGGATGGTGGCAAATATTAGCATTAAGGACATAAGGATTGCTGCTAGGCTTCTGTCCTGGGAGACGACTTAAAGCTTAAGTGCTGTGTGGGACCTTTAAGGGTTAGTTCAGTGCTGCTATGGAAATGCAAATGTTGAGCATTCAGTACAACCTGGAAAACTTTGGAGGGTGACAGCGGATTCTTGCAGAAGCAGGTGAATCAGAAGTGAGGGATTCCAGGCAGAAAGGACAGACAATTCAGAATTACAAAGACAAACCATGTCATAGAGAATGGAGTTGAGAATCGTTCTTGTTCCAACTTTATTTTGCAATTGAAAAAGAGGCTGAGTTATAAGATCAGGTCATACTGTTTCCAGAGTGAGTAAAGGCTTAGAAAGGCCAGACAGAATAGAGACAGATAGGTGGGCATGGGGGTCTGACCCTTAACAGAACAGCTGGAAAACAAGGAAATGAACAGGACTGTGCCTAATAAGGTAGGAAATGAAAGCATCCTAAAACTCTGGCTTGATAAGTGATGGTATCAGTAATTAGAAGAAGATTCATTTGACTACTTAGAAATCACCCAAAAAGAGTGTTTAATAGGTACCTGGATATTGAACTGTGAAGGTTAGAATCAGATTTAGGTGAGATTAGCACTCCTGGAACACACTGGTTCTATTTAAAGTCAAGGGTGGATTAAAGGCAGCACCCTAAGCCTAGTGTTTAAATGGTGATGAAGGAGATTTATTAACTTTATTTAAGATAAAGTCTCATTATTGTTCATGCTGCCCTGGGACTCACTATATTAGCCCAAGCTTGACTCAAACTTATAGCAATTACTCTGTTCATCTTCCCAGGTGCCAGATTGAGCTAGACTGGGTCTTCAAAAAGGAGGTTGGGGGGATAGAATTTAGATGAGTGGGTCAATAGTAAGTAGAAAGTGAAGAATTAAATGTAGGTTATTTCTTAAGCTTGACCATGACAAAGAGGAATGATAGCACCTGAAATATATAAAGTCAGTGGAAGGGACCTCTGGCTTTGATTTTAGGTTAGAAGCAAGCATGTATATGGACTCAGGAAAGAATCAGACAAACCATTAACAGTAGAGAAATGGATGAGGACACCTCAGTGTCAGAGTGCTTGCCTAGCACGCACAGGATGGTGAATTGAAAAGTACAAGGATAGAGAGAAGGTGGTGACAATAGTACAAATGAGTTGCAAGGAAAGAGGGTACATGGTGTGGTGGTGGGGTGTGTAGAAGGGCAGGTACTGGAGGTTCTTATTCACTCTGATGGGGGTGCTACTGAAAAGGCCCTTTTCTGTCATTTTGTTTTTTAAATATTTTGAGA